ATAATTAAGGGTAAATGAGGTCATAAGTGTGAGACCCTGATTCAATCGGATTATGTCCTTATAAGAAGAGATACTAGAGAGCTTGCTCACTCTGTGCTGTGTGGGGACACAGCTTGAAGGCAGCTGTCTGCAACCAAGGAAGAGAGTCCTCACCAGAAACCAAAAAGGCTGAAACACAGATCCTGCACTTTACAGCCTCCAGAATTGTGAGAAGATATATTTCTGTTGTTTAAGACAAAAAATATATGGTATTTTGCTATAGCATCCTGAACTAAGATATATACAGGGAAAAAAAAGTAACCTAGAAGGTTGTTGGAAGGATTCAACAAGAAAAAAATAACAAAATATGCCTACAATATAATGGGCATATGAAATAGAAACTATTATTATTTTATATATTTATCAAGTATTGTGTCCATAAATATCAAAGCAGTAACATATTACTGAATTTTTTAATATCTACTTACATTTCCAAGAATCCTATCATAGAAGATTGAAAATGCCTATACTCTTAGCTACATATATTAAAATCAAACATCTTTACCTATAACCCTAAATAAAAATTTGATTTATAGCAAACTTAACATCCAAGATACTTTGAGTCGGGAAAACTGGACAGCTACAAGTAAAAAAATGAAATTAGAACATTCTTTAAAACCATACACAAAAATAAGCTCAAAATGGATTAAAGACCTAAATATAAGAATGGATAGTATAAAACTCTTAGAGGAAAACATAGGCAGAATACTCTGACATAATTCATAGCAATATCTTTTTTGATCCGTCTCCCAGAGTAATGGAAATAAAAACAAATGGGACCTAATTAAACTCAAAAGCTTTTGCACAGCAAAGGAAACCATAATCAAAACAAAAAGACAACCCACAGAATGGGAGAAAATATTTGCAAATGATGCAACCAACAAGGGATTAGTCTCCAAAATTTATAAACAGCTCATGTGGCTCAATATCAAAAAAACAAACAACCCAATCAAAAAATGGGCAGAAGACATAAATAGACATTTCTCGAAAGAAGACACAGATGGCCAAGAGGCACATGAAAAAATGCTCAACATCACCAATTACTAGAGAAATGCAAATGAAAACTACAAGATATCATGTCACACAAGTCAGAATGGCCATCATCAAAAAATCTGCAAACAATAAATGCTGGAGAGGGTGTGGAGAAAGGGGAACCCTCCTACACTGTTGGTGGGAATGTAGATTGGTACAGCCACTACAGAGAACAGTATGGAGGTTCCTTAAAAAACTAAAAATAGAGCTACCATATGATCCAGTAATCCCACTCCTGGGCATGCATCCAGAGAAAAACATGGCTCAAAAGGATACATGCACCCCAATGTTCATTGCAGTGCTGTTTACAATAGCCAAGACATGGAAGCAACATAAATGTCCATCAACAGATGAATGGATAAAAAAGATGCAGTACATATATATAATAGAATATTACTCAGCCATTAAAAAGAATGAAATAACGCCATTTGCAGCAATGTGGATGGACCTGGAGATTATCATACTGAGTGAAGTAAGTCAGATAGAGAAAGACAAATATATGATATCGCTTATATGCAGAATCTAAAAAAACCAATACAAATGAACTTATTTACAAAATGGAAACAGACTCACAGACTTAGAGAATGAAGTAATGATTACCAGGGGGGAAGGGTGGGGGGGCGTGATATATTGGGAGTTTGGGATAGACTTGAACGCACTGCCATATTTAAAATAGATAACCAACAAGGACGTACTGCTGAGACTTGAACACACTGCCATACTTAAAATAGATAACCAACAAGGATGTACTGCGTAGCAGCAGCAAAAGCTGCTTGGTATTCTGTAATAACCTAAATGGGAAAAGAACTTTAAAAAGAAGAGATATATGTATATGTATAACTGAATCACTAATAACATAAAGATATTCTAGTAAGTAAAGTGAAGCAGAAAAGAAATCATGCAAGAAAAAAAAAATATAGCAGCAAACACTGAATTTATTTAAACCAAAACCTCATAAAAAAAGGATAAACAGAATCATTACTTACAATTAATATGCCAGAAAAAAGTTTTGAATTTTAATTAATAAGGTTCATTTTAAAGGAATATAATAAATCATATTCAAATTGTAAGTTTAGCAAAAAAAAAGTGATCAATAAAATTTACAATAAAAATATAAGGTGATTAATAAAGTGTAATTTAAAATACTTAGCCTCAGTATGCAGTGTTATGGTCTTTAAAATTTTTTCTTGCCTCCACCTTATAAGAATTTTTGAAAAATTATGTATCTAGCTAACACACACACACACACACACACACACATTGTTTTTTTTTTTTGGTTATCCTTTGTGGCTTGTGGGATCTTAGTCCCCTGACCAGGGACTGAATGCGGGGCCATGCCAGTGAAAGTGTCAAGTCCTAACCGCTGGACCACCAGGGAACTCCCTAGCTAACACATTTTAAAATTATTATCTGGATAGTTCTTATAAATTGAAATAAGTTTAGTTCTTACTAATGAGAGAGAGAAATTATTAAAAATTTTATAATGGGAACAAGAGGATTTATATTTGAAACAAATATTTTATGATATAATTTTATTAGTTTTTAACCACCTTATTGAGGTAAGCAGAAAGAATTAGAAGTGATTTTTGTAAGCATTATATATGGTCTATATCCAACGTGTCTTGAAGAATCTGGTAATCCTGCAGAAAGTTTCAAATATAAGAATCACATTAGGTGGTTGCTTTCTTTTTTTAAATTCAGAGCACCCCAATGACTACAACAATACTCTGATGATAACGTTGACTCTTATTCTTTAGATAAGTACTTTTAAATCAAATAATGATAGAAAGCTTTATGAGTTTATGGTTCTTGATTAGCTATATCATGGTAAGTGTCTCCAAAACTCACCTTTAATGATATCTCTTTGTTTGGCACGTCATAAATTTTTACACCCCAAAATACGTGCTGCATCAAGACTTGAAATAGATGAGGAAGAATATACGCGTGAAGAATAGCATTCCTTATTTTGGTAAACAGAATAATAACCTCCTAAAGATGCACATGTCCTAACCTCTAGAACCTGTGAATATATTATTTTACATAGCAAAGGGGATTGGCAACTGTGATTAAATTAAGGATCTTAAAATAGGGAGATATCCTGAATTACCCAGGTTGGTCCAATATAATCACAAAGTTCCTTAAATGATGGAGGAGAGAGACAGAATAGGAAAAATGATGTGTTCATAGAAGCAGAGGTTGGATAGATGCAATTGAAGGTTCTGGAGATAGAAGAGGGCCATGATTCCAAGAATGAGAACATCCTCTAAAGAATCTGGAAAAGACGTGGAGCGGATTTTTCCCTAAAGCCTCAAGAACGAATGCATCACCCCTTTCAATGCATTTTTGACTTCTGACCTCCAGAACTGGAAAAAAACAGATTTTTTTTTTTAAGACTTAACATTTGTGGTAATTTGTTACAGTGCCAGTAGGAAACTAATGCACCTATTTTGATAAAATGGAAATGGACTATCATGAATAAGGCTGACTGTCAGATGATGAACTTTAAGAAATGCCATATATGGAAGTCGTGGATGTAGAAATTGATTTCTTCTGAAGAGTCTTTACATGTAGCAACAGAGTACATTTACCACAGTTTTCGAGACTTACTAAGGAGCATAAAGCTAATTAAGAACATGGATTCTGTGGTCAATGTTCTATGGTTAAACCAAATCTTTGATAGATCTCAGTCCCAGGACCTCATGAAAATTACCTAATCTTTCCTTAGTTTCCTAATTTTTCTACCTTTAAAATTTTTCTTTAGTTTGTATTTCATTCATCATAATAGGAAATTAGACATGTTGATTAATAAACCATAAATCTTTCAAATTTCTTAAATTTAATAGAGATTCAAAAGTACATATTGATTTAAAACAACACAGCATCTCTATGAGTAATGTCTACTATCTCATAGAACTGCAGTAGTTCTCAACCATAACTGTGAAGCAGAATCATACGCCAATCTCAAACAAAACAAAAACACAACAAAAATCAAATAACAACAGCAGCCTGGGGCCCATGACCAGGGATTTTGATGAATTACTCTTGGATGGGACAGTGACATGTTCTCACATTTCCAGTGATTATAATCGGTTCTGTGAAGTAGTGGTTTTAAAAGTGTTAGTGAGACTTCACTATAAATATATATATATATGTGTGTGTGTGTGTGTGTGTATATATATATACACACACACATATATATTTAAATAAAGTATTTATAAATCAATTATTTTGTGTTTATTCAGATTTATTTTACTATGTATTACATTATTACCCCCAAATTTAGAAAGCTTTATTGGGAACCCCAGTAATTTTTAAGAGCATGAAGAATTCCTGAGACAGAAGAGTTTGAGAACTACTGCCATAGATCATAATTTGGTAGTCTCAAAGAAAACATTTAGTATTTCTAGGTTTCCTAGTAAATATATTCTACAATTCAAGTTTTTGAAAGCGTGTTATAACAATTCCATTCTTAAAATTAGAAAGAAAAAAATGTAATGAGTGGGAAAACTGAGAACTACTTCAAAATTATAAAGTAAATAGGTCATTTAACTAGGTAAATGTTATACGTGTCTAAAATACAAATGCAGCCAGAAAAATAATGTAGGAAAAAATCAATAGAAATAACTTTTTAAATTATTAGATTTAAAGAACATAAACTATATGACCACTCCATAAAAAGTATGATGAACTTGGTGATATTTTGAAAAGTGCCATTAGAATTACAGCCAATTAATTAACTAAATGTTTAACATTAACTAAATATGATTGTTAAATATTTTTATGTTTTCAATGAGCTTTTTAACAGATGATGTTGACACAGGAGTCTAGAGACATTTTGGAAAAAAGCCCTTGGAGTCAAATACATTTATTACTCCATTTATATGAAGAAATATGTTTGAGTTCTTCTCGGAAACTTAATTACTCTTATTGAGCACCTGGAAAAGAGAACAAAATTATATCCAAGTTTTTGCCCAAATGCACTGTACATTTTTGAGGTAAGATATATGCCAAAATAACTGTCCCTCAAATGAAAACGAGTGCAAAATTTTGTCATCTCTTCCCTTGCAGACTTGATTCCTTGGGGCGGAAAATAAAAGGATGTGACATTAACCCAACTGGTATATATTTTTCTTATATTAGGTAGATAGTTTGAAATACTTCCTTTCATCCTTCTCTTATTTATTTCCCTTCCTTTCTGTCCTCTCCCTTCTTTCACAAATGCCCATTATGTGCTAGCCACTGTGGTTATGTAACAAAAGCAAGATAGACATGCTCTCACATATTTTAGCATCTAGTGTTAAATACATACATTTAAAAGGGCTTTACAAAACTGAGACAACATAGTACAGATAACACTGGTAGAAGAGGTAACACACAGGGTATTCCTTGAGAACACAGTGCCTACTTGTCATCTAAAATTACAGTGGGAATTAACTAGGTGAAGCAGGAAGGGAGTCTGAGGGAGAGCAACGTAGAGGAAGTGTCCAGGCAGAAAGTACAAAAACTGAAACAAGACACTTGGGATGGTTAATTTTACGTGTCAGCTTTATTGGGCTAAGGGTTGCCCAGAAAGCAATTAAAACATTATTTCTGGGTGTGTCAGTGAGGATGTTTCTGGAGGACATTAGCTTTTGATTCAGTAGACTGAGTAAAGAGATCCACCCTCACCAATGAGGGCCGGCATCATCCAATCTGTTGAGGGCCCCAATAGCACAAAAAGGCAAAGAAGGGGCAAATTTCTCTCTCCTTGATCTGGGATGTCGGTCTTTTTTTGTACTTAGATATCAGGGCTTTGGTTCTTGGGCCTTTGACCTTGGATTGGAAGTTATACTACTGGCTTCTGTGTTTTTCAGGCATTCAGACTCGACTGACTTACACGACAAGCATTCCTGATCCTCCAGCTTGAGGATGGCAGACCAAGGGACTTCTTAGGCTGCATAACCACTTGATTCAGAGAGAGAGAGAGAGAGAATATGTGTGTGTGTGTGTGTGTGTGTGTGTGTGTGTGTACACTGTTGGTTCTGTTTCTCTGGAGAAACTCTGGAATATCTAAGTGGCAAAACATGACTGAGGAATTCAAGGATGATTAGTGTAAGTAGAGAATAAGGAGCACTGTAATTATGGTTAAAATTAGAAAAGCAAAAGTGGCCGGACCACATACATTCTTAAAACAACACTAATTTTAAAAATTTTATTGTAACAAGCGATGTAACTGAAAGACTCTGAGCAAGGAAATAACAGAGTCGTATCTCAGATTTAGAAAAATCCTACTCTGTAGGTAGAATGAGGATTTGATTAGAGTGAGTCAGCAAAGACTAACAGGGGAAACAGGGTATGGGATACCCTGTACTATCTTCTCAAATTTTCTGTAAATCTAAATCTACTTTTTAAAAAAAGTTCATTCAAAAATGTGACCACTAAAAAAAATTAGCATTGCAAATTTATTCTAGCCCCAAATACATTTCAAATTCATTACTTTGCCTTTATCTTTCTTCTCCTCATAATAATATGAGAATTCTTTAATTCATCTACTCATTGCTCACCCTGTTGTTGTCTCATCCTCAAAAGAATTTTTAAAAACTGAACCAGTTTGAATCCCCAAAGAAGCAGATATCAATTTGGGATAAGACATGTAAGAGATTTATTCATGAAACACCTGTGAGGAAAAAGGGGCAAGAAACAAAGGAGGTGAGGAGAGATTTCAGACCATGATGCTGGCCTCACCCTTATGAAATATGAAAACAGAGAATAGGGTAAGAAGATTCTCAGACTACATCACAGATCTATGAAGGTTACAGCCAGGGTAGTGGGAGTTCATTCAGAGGAATCAGGTATCTCGCAGAAATGAACTTGCTCTAGTAACCCATGGGGCCCAGTTTATTAGCTGGGATCACCCCGAAGGAAGCATTGTCTCAGTGCCAACAACTCAGTGCCATTGTTTCAGTACTTTTCCATTCCTTTGGAGCCATGCCTAGTCTCCATCTCTACCACTGGGCTTAACTTATTCATAAATCTACATTGTAAGCCTGGGATAACCCAGGGGAGAGTCTGGCTGAACCAAATCATTTCTAGATTACTCAGTACCTCTTTCTGTCATGCATGCTCTCAGGTAAGCATTGACTTAAGAAGAAAAGGATCTATAAATGTTGTGTTCACTCCCATAGTTCTATCAACATGACATTTCCCAGACTTCTAAATTCTCTGAATACAGAGAACTTTCCCTCACCACTGAATTTTATGGCAGCCCCAAGGAGGTGCTATGGAGTGGCAACAGTCCATTTCAGCTCATACTGATGTATCAAGCCAACCCATCCCTGAATCAAACAAAGCCAATTTTTTTCTTTTGACAACAGCTAATTATAGAAAAAGCAGAAAAATAGGTGTGATTTTTATGGAGAGGCATTGGAAAATTAGACATAAGGGATATGTGTTGTACCACTTATCCTGTAACTTATTTGTGCTCCACAAGTTTGTTCCAATACCCACGGATCCATTTTCACTCATGTTCTCCCTGATATTGATGTGTATTAGCAAGGCCCTATAGATTTTTTGGAGACTGATTCTAAATATGCCATTTCCATCATATGATGGATTGCTGTGGTGGCTGTCTGATACTATAACCTAGGGAGTGACAATAACCTAGTATCAGTTGATGAACAAACAACTTGTACCAAAGTCAGGAACTCAGTCTCTACTAGTTGCAAGAGCATAAAATAGTTGATTTTTGAACCATGAGCAGATCTCTAAATGAGGCCAAATGACCTTGTTCAAGAGCCCTGGGTGACTGAGCTGTGACTCTTCTATTGCCATTTGCCAGAAACTCCACATTATCCTTTTCTACAACCATTATTGCTATCATCTTATGATGTGGAAGACTAACTGGCTAAAGTAGTAAGGCCACTTACTAGAGAGTCCTTTCTTACTCTGGTCCTACTCAAAACTGACCACCTTCCAAGTTACCTGATAAGTGTCAGAGCAATATATGTTATATGCAAAATGCAAAGGCGGCTACCAAATGCTCCACTTCTTTCTTGGTGGTGGGAAGGGCAAGATGCAATAAGTTTCCTTTAACTTGCAGGGAATCTTTTGATGTGTGCCCAAGAGCAGTAACCTTTAAATCTTTACTAATATGAAAATCCCCTGAATCTTTGTATTTTACAGTTTCACACCTGTGGCATTCATGGGTCTAACCAGGGCAACCAAAGCACCTATTATTATTCCCATGTATAATTTACATGGGTCATGCATTTTTTTCAGATAAGTAACAAACCAAATGCAGGCAGTGAATTAATCTGTTTAGTAAAGATACCACACCTGGAAAAGCTGCAATAATCTGTAGCACACTTGGTTAAGTTCACAGTAGTCATTTGGCAACCACTATGATCTAAAGGAATATTGTAGAGTCAGGCTAATGAATTACTCAGTGTTAAGATGGAGAACATCATTCATCAATTGCTTATGCTTTTAAGAGTGGCACTAATCTCTGTCACTTCACTAAGGTTATAATATTACTTCTGATATTCTACCTTAGGCAGGGGTGCAGAAGTTTCAGGAGTTTTCATTTTATGTCTTCTACTTACTTCATCTATCACCTGCCTTTTCTATATGTCCCTATACTTCCTGGAGTACTATGATAACATTTTTGTTCTTTCTTTTTTGTCAGTTTTGTCCTTTATATAAAAACGCTTGAAAATGCTAGGGCTTATTTTTCCCCAGTGAATATTTACTCTACTATAATGGTTGTGGATGCCTTTAGAAAATAATTGGGAGAAATACTATCACATATGTTTGCTGTGATGTTTGGGAGATCTTCCTCAATGTGACTTAGACTTCTGTTCAACTCATGCACTCCAGTCCTGAGAACTGGAAACTGAATGAGAGCTCATAATTTTCTTTTGAGGCAGTTGAAAGTAGACTTGGGTTCATTAGCTCTTGAAAAGTTTTTGTTATACAGATTAAGCAATACCCTCACTGGCAGCTTATACACCTAATCCCTAAGAAACTCATGGTCTATTACTCATCCCCCATAGATAGCTGTGAGTCATTCCAGCTTTTCTGTTTGTTGTAGTAACTGTATACACCTTGTCTCTGACAGTTAAATGCTGCCATTAGGCTTCTGCTTTCTGAAATCTTATTATCACTACTGACACTTAGGAGCCCAGTTGTATAACAACTGTTCCTGTTATCAATCCTGGCCTATAGAGGACAGAAAATACTATTGTTTTTTAATGATGCCTGGAACTCTTTCATTAGTACACTGGTTATTGCTTTAGAGAAAGAAATATCCTCTGGGCCCTCCAACAGAATAGAGTTAAGCAACAGGTCCTCTAGTCTTATGAAATAAATCTCTGCTAGCATGCGACCAAACTGAGATTTGACCTCATCCTCAATACTATGCCAAGACATATTTTGCATTTCCACCTTATTTACTGTAGACCATTGCTTTTGTTTCATTTTTTGATTTTTTTCCCCCAAGATTCAAGAAATCATTCAAGTATCATGTTAAGACCAGCTCAGGAATGCTAATCCTGTGTGATAAGAGTGATCCATGTTAGTAAATTTCTTATATTTAGACATATTTACCTCGCCACATCACTTCAGTCACCCAAGATATGTTTCCAGCCACATTTTCACTCTCATTTATGAATATGTTAGCCTGAATTTGTATATCTTTTGGTGGCTAATACCCTTACTCTTGAAACATGTAATGACTGCTGAGTCAGGCCATGCTAAGATTTGATTCTAGCTGAGATTTGATTCTAGCCATGGACCTATAATACCTTACAAAACATAAGGGCAAAAGTTGAAGAGTACAAATATCATTGTTTGAGGAATCCACCTCAGTTGAGGCTTCTGCATATTGCCAAGGCATAGGCAGGTTTCTACCCTAATGTAAGAGAGTTTAGAGATCAAGGTTCTTAAACACATCCAACTAGATACCCCCATCCCAGGTGTCAGGGCCTAACAGGGTCTATTAGAGCTATGTCTTCAGTGAAGGAGAATTTTCAGAGATTTAAAAAAGCCTCCTCTGAAAATGTATTCTCTGAAACCAGATCCTGTGCCCTGTTTCAGTCAGTAGGATATGGATGTCTTTAAATCTTCTCATAGAGGACTTTTGGCTTTCACAGAACTTTACATTTTCACATAATTTACTGATTTGACAGTAGGCTGGCTTGTGCCTGTCACAACCTATCATTTTCTTCCTTGAATGCATCAACAGCACTTGAAAGCCAACCAATCTACACTAGCATCTTCACAACTACCATCTCCATCATTTTCTCAAATCCAAGAAAGGTTACATATGTCAGCACAATTCTTTTTACCTGTATCCCATCCTAATTTCACACATGTAGGAGCTTTAATGATTGTAATGCTACTACATGCCAGCACTTATAACCACACTGCTTACCACCAAAAAATGGTTTTGTTGTCATCTTAACGGTAAGTAATTCAATTCCATAATCTCCTCATGAGTATCTGCTTCTTTGTCCCATTTCTGGTAACAAATTAGTATGGGTACTCCCAGAAGCAGATTCTAAGTATTCAAGTCCAGATTTTTTATTTGGGAGGAACAGAAAAAAAATTAGCAAGAAAAGGAGAGAAGTGATACAGAAAAAGGAAGGCAACTAAAAGCAGATGAATTATTGAACCAGCTACCACAGTTGCTGATGAGCTTAATCCTGTGGGGGGAGGTGCTGACAATTATTATCAGAATCAAATAAGATAAAACATAAAAATAATCAGCAGCATATCTACTAAAACAGACCTGAAATTTTAAAAACATTTTTATTAGTACATTTAGAATTGAACGAGAAGCCTGATGATATTGATTGAATTATTATTGTTTTTTGTTTCATGAAGACTGTTACAATGCCTAACTGTGCTTTATAAA